ATGGGCGCTCCACAAGCATATTATTAACAATTATGTTTTAAACATCCATGAATAAAGTTTACTTCGTAGCACGGAAATATCGAACACTTATTTCAGATTTGTATCAAAATTTTAAGTTAGGTGCATCTTAACGGTAGCTATATTAATCAAGCAAACTATTTCGATCTTATAATTATGAGCTTAAGTAATTTTAAATATGTTGACTACGAATTCCAAAATATATTCTCCATTGATCATAGTTTTTATTTTTTCGCTTAATGTTCGTTCGTTCACTCCTGATCCACGTGGTGGGCACACGGCAATTTTGGTCAATGACAAAATTTATTTCATGGGAGGTTCAAGGCCTATACCCAAGACTTCATCTGCGTGGACTCCAACTCATCAATTCAATCTATCGGATGAGGTGTTCTATTTGGATCTTTCTTCATGGTTTACCATCAATTCACCTTTTTTCACAGATCTTTCCGCAATCTCTCGAATGCCATTTGGTAATGAGAAAGGAACAACAGTATTGGGAACTAGTGGTGTGCGGATTTTTCTCATTGGAGGGGTCCAGCAGGATATGACAACATTTAGTTATAATGGGACAAATTCTAGCCTTTGGATCTATAATGTAAATTCACAACGATGGGACGTTCCTGGGCCAGGAACTAATGGACCACCACTTCCTATTCGTAGGTCCACCGCAACAGTTATCAGTAAAAATGGTACAATATATGTACTAGGTTAGTGATATGAATCAAAAATCATTGATGATTGCGATTTGCAAATTTTGTAGACCAAAAAAAAAAAAAATTAAAATCGATTATGATTTTATGATTAACGATTAATGATTTCCGATTTCTAATTTTTTTTATATATTTTTTTAAACTTTAGATTAAACTTTAATATTATGTAAATTTTTATAAAAGACATAATAAACTCTAATTTAACTTACTAATAATGTTAATAAGTTAAAATGTTTATTACGCTTTTATAATATTAAAGTTTAATCTAAAGATTAAAAAAATATATGAAAAAAATTAGAAACCGGAAATCACTAATCGATTATTTTTTTTTTTTGATCTGCAAAATTTACAAAATTTTGCAAATCGCAATAATTAAATTTATATTCACTACAGTTAATGCCATACAACCTTAATAAATTGGTTCTCATAACCCGGCTGGGTTAAATTTCGCAAAATTCTTAAAAAATATTTTGATTATATTTACAATCAGGGTGAAGTTTTTTTAGAAGTTTATAAAAATTTTTATATAATTAAAAGCCGGGTTGGGGGGTCATTTTTCAAATTTTATGCTATGAGAACCAAAGAATTAACTTTGTATGGCCTAATAAATTAGTTTAAATTAAAATTATATTACTTTGCCCAATTTTTTTTTAAAAAAAAATATTAATTAATAAATTAGTTAATCAACTAACAAACTAGTTGAGTAATCGATTAGTTAACAATAATTAATTTTTAATCGATTTTTTAAAAAATATTCAACTAATCGATTATGTTTTTTGCTCCGATTCATAACACTGTATCAGGTGGAAGAGTGGAAGTGGATACTGCTTCAGATGTGTTTACAATCCTCGAGGATTTTTTCACATTTGATACTTTATTATTGAGGTGGACAAATCTGACTTCACTTTCTAATCATCCATATAAACGAAGTCATAGCACTGCAACTTTAATGCCTGATGGAAAAATTATTTACATAGGTGGTGTTACTCAATCTATCCCTGGTACGCCTGCAACTCGTATAAGTATGAATGAAGTGAGTAATTTTAAAATGATAATGCTACATAAGATAGATAATGTAATGTGGGTATTGTGAATTGATCAGTATCGAGTGATTTACATTATTCGATTAGTCTTAATTAACGTATCATTAAACTAAGAATTTCACAATGTCCATATTCATGACTTCTAAATCAAAACACTTTATCATTGCAATATAAAAAATCTATTACCTTTTATTCAGATATATATTTTTGATACTATTGCATCAGCTTGGTCGCAAAAGGTACTTATGATTTCTTCATATAAATTCTTATTGCCTTGAAATTTTTAATAAATTAACTATTATTTAGTCTGCTGTGGGAAACATTGATCCTCGTGTTGGACACACCGCTCTCCTAGGTAAATTATTAAGCTTATATTTGATACATATTTTTGTATTTATAATTTCTAAATAATTATAATTAATATTATATGCATACATACCGATACATTTACTTGATTTTAAAGCACCCGATAATCACACTATTGTAATCTTAGGTGGATCGCAAAGTTACGGCCTTAATGAGACTACACCATATCCGGTTTTTGCATTGCTAGATATTAGATCTGAACCATTTCAATATTCCAGTCCTCAACCTTCTGGAATATCTCCTCCTCCATTATCATTCCATACAGCAACACTTTATAAAGACTATATGATTGTAGCATTTGGTAATGATTTATACTCATCCAATAATATTTATTATAGGTTATTATTATTGCGCAATTACATATTTTCATAGGAAAACCGCTTACGAATTGCAAATCACGCATATGAACAAACTGATAACATAGATAGTTTTGTCAAAATTATAGGACGTTTTGCCAAATCAATCTCCAATTTCTTTTAGAAAAGTCTACCTAATAATACGATAGCTTTTCAGGAACGAAGCTGCTTTTAATGCTACCTTTTTTTTTAAAAAAAAAAAACTAGCATTATAAGTTTAGACAATGACGTCCTATAACGCAAAATAAAACTATTTATGCGTCATTTATTCTCTTGACATTGGTGATTGTTTTTTATAATATAATATAAAATTAAATAGAATTGTTAGTAAATCTTATTCAGGTCTTCTATGAAGTGTGTCTAAAAATATAAGAGTTGTCATTTTATGAAAACTTTTATTTATTTATGATTTATTTATTTTTTAAAAAAATATATATAGGTAACATCACCAACGACTCTGGACCTTCAACTAATACATCGGCTAATATATATTTAATGAATCTTTCAAATTACACATGGGTGACGCAATTTGAAAATACCCCTATCCCTACCTCTGCTATTGCTAATAATAATAATGATAACAATAATAATAATAAATTGGCCATTATTATTTGTCCTATTATTGTTGGCCTTGCCATTATTATTGGTACAATAGTATACTTCAGATGTCATGGATAAAGAATGCGCAAGTTATTCAATAAAAAAATTGGAAATACACCCCTATCCATAGGCGAAGAGCAACCATCGTAACTAATAAAGTAAATGCTTATTGTTTATAAATACAGAATTTATAATAAATTTTTGATTCGTTTAATTTAAGGGTTTAAACAAAAAAAGACACCATTTTTGTTTAGGTATTTTTGTTTATTATTATATCCTAAAATTACTCTAATAGAAAAACCGCATTAGCATTGGCACATATCGGCTGATTTTAATAAGGAAATCCAATCTCCCCAGTAACGCACCTCTATTAGACATATGAAATTATATATAATTGACACACCTTAACCTGGTAGATTGGATTTCTTTATCCAAATTAGCCGATATGACTAACCTTAATATAAAAAAGAAATGTGTTTAGAAAAAATTTCATAGTACAAATGTATATAAATTACACTTTACCGGCCAAAGTTATAAGCAATTAACTACCGCTACACTAACGAAATCTCGGTTGTTGAGCAAAAAAAAAACAAAAAAAGCCTAAAATAATAGTTAACAACGATGGTGTAGAATGAATGAGTAGTTTGTATATTTTTTTTATTATACATACTGTATAAAAATCTTTTAGAAAGCCGAAAATATAAGAATAATATTAATTAACTTGTAATTTTATTATCACTATGGGAGTTTTTAAAATACGATAAGTTTATATATGATGTGTGTTAAAATCCCAAAGACCTTTTATAAAAATGATTGTTGTGTGAGATAGTATAGTGTAAAAGATTAAAAATTTGAGTAGACGTAGAATTAATCATAGAATAAGACATAATTAAGAGTAGAATTTAATATATTGTAACGAATTAATTTTATAATCTTACCCTTTTTGGGATTGTTAAATCCCTCGAAGCATATTGATATGAGGCTATCATGATAGCGTGATGCCTCTGACGTCATAAAGTAGGTTCCAGAATGTGGGAGGTCAAAAGTAGAAACACCGAATTTATTTTTAAGTAAATTTTTTCCAGACTTTAAATTAAAATATCTCAACAACTATTAAACCAAACTTGACA